CTTTTTTTGAATTATGTTATTAATATATTCCATGTATTTATTTACCAAGTTGTGCGTTTTCATTCTTTTGCTGTAGGATTCTCCAGAAATGTTTCTGCAAAGTCAGAGATGTGCTGCTGAAAAGTGATTCAGTCACTGCAGGTAAGTGTAGTGGGAGAAAAGCATTTCACTACAGCAGTGGATTTCAGTCCTGAGTGTGTCAGACAAGAGACATACAATCGGACCAGGATTGAAAAACACTGCACTGAAGAATGGAAAAATACTATAAGTAAGAGTTGTAGAGTACAGGAAAGAGTAATATAGTACATGTATGTGTTGTAGAGTGTATATATAAGTGTTGTATAGTACAGGTAAGAATTGTGGAGTATATAACAGGTTGGTGGTAAGTGTTGAAGAGAACAGGGCAGTGTAGCGAAAGGTAGCTTCAATAACCATTTAAATTAAACCTCAAAGGATGCCGGACCACCATTTTTACCTACATCAGTGCTTCCCAAACCTGCCCTGGAGCCCCCACTACTACACATTTTGTTTGTCTCTCTCAACTTACACACCTAATTCATCTCATCAGCTGATTTGTAGACATTGTAAGATTTGAATTGAGTTTGTCTGATAACAGAGACACACATAATGTGCAGTTGTGGGGTTCGCAGGACAAATTTGACAAGCACTGACCTATACATTTCTCAATGTAAGGCCATTAGTCATATTAGAGGCTTGAGGTTCGTCCCTGAGGTACCTGACTTGGCCATGGCTTTTGAGATACCTGTGGTGGCCGTCACTTTCTGAGGTCCCTGTGTTAGCCAATGCTCCCTGAGGTCTCTGTGATGACCAATGCCGCTTGAGGTCTCCCCTGTCATGGCCAAAGCTCCCTGAGGTCCCTGTCACGGGCTCAGTGCCTGAGGTTCCTTTCATTTTCGGCCTCTAATATGTGAAATTAGTAGTATCTTCGTATTCATAGTATTCAAAATGAAAAGTACATGGACGACCTACATATTTATACTTTATAGAACATAATTTTCTAATGGTCATGAAGTAAGCTCTGTCATTAAGCAGTGCATGTCGTGGCCACTGCCCATGAAGTCTCTTGTTGTGTCCCTAATGACATTATATACACTGTGCACTTATAGTACGCACTATGTCTTCTGCTGTCTGGATTTTACAAGGGTCGTGTCTTCTCAAACAGCGCATTAACTTTTTTACTGACTGGAAGCATATGCATTTCCCAGTTGAGGAGAAATGACATAAATGCATGTAATGTTGCATAATGCGAAATCAGTGAAATCAGTGTAGTAAGTTGATGTGGTTGTAGTTGTATGTTTGCTGGCAATGTAGTGTGTTCCTGAGTCCATGTCACAGTTACCTGTCCTTGAGCCACGGCTAGAAAACACAGTACAAGAGCCACAGTGCAGGGCCCCCTCTGCGCCACAGTCCAGACATCCCTCAGCGCCATGGCTGCAGTACAGGCACCCCTCAGCGCTTCAGCGTCAGTCCAGGACCCCTCAGCGCCACGGCCACAGGTGCCCCTCAGTGCACAGGTAAAGCCCAAGCAGCCCTCAGTTCGGCGTGCACAACCCAGACCCATATGACCACAGGACCATCTCAATGCCATGGCCAACATACAGGTGCATTCAGGGCAGTTGCTAGGGGGGTTGTAGAGTACAGGTAAGAATTGTGGAGTGCAGGTGAGAGTTGTAGACTAAAGTAAAGAATTGTAGACTAAAGGGAAGTCCTGTGAAATACAGGTATGAGTTGAAAAGTACAGGTAAGGGTTGTAGACTAAAGGAATGAGTTGTAGACTAACAGTAAGAGTTGTAGAGTACAAGTAAGTCCTGTCAAATACAGGAAAGGGTTGTAGACTAGAGGTAAGATTTGTAGAATACAGGTAAGGGTTGTAAAGTACAGGTAAGGTTTGTAGACTAAAGGTAAGAGTTGTAAAGTACAGGTAAGTCCTGTGAAATACAGGTAAGGGTTGTAGAATACAGATAAGGATTGTAAAGTACAGGAAAGAGTTGTAGACTAGAGGTAAGATTTGTAGAATACAGGTAAGTCCTGTAGAATACAGGTAAGGGTTGTAAAGTACAGGTAAGGTTTGTAGACTAAAGGGAAGAGTTGTAAAGTACAGGTAAGTCCTGTGAAATACAGGTAAAGGTTGTAGAGTACAGGTAAGTCCTGTGAAATGACGGTGAGCTGTAGACTAAAGTTAAGTCCTGTAGAATACAGGTAAGGGTTGTAAAGTACAGGTAAGTGTTGTAGACTAGAGGTAAGAGTTGTAGAGTACAGGTAAGTCCTGTAGAATACAGGTAAGGGTTGTAAAGAACAGGTAAGGTTTGTAGATTAAAGGTAAGAGTTGTAGAATACAGGTAAGTCCTGTAGAATACAGGTAAGGGTTGTAAAGTACAGGTAAGGTTTGTAGACTAAAGGTAAGAGTTGTAAAGTACAGGTAAGCCCTGTGAAATACAGGTAAGGGTTGTAGAGTACAGGTAAGTCCTGTGAAATAATGGTGAGTTCTAGACTAAAGTTAAGTCCTGTAGAATACAGGTAAGAGTTGTAAAGTACAGGTAAGGTTTGTAGACTAAAGGTAAGAGTTGTAAAGTACAGGTAAGTCCTGTGAAATACAGGTAAGGGGTGTAGAGTACAGGTAAGTCCTGTGAAATAACGGTGAGTTGTAGACTAAAGTTAAGTCCTGTATAATACAAGTTAGGGTTGTAAAGTACAGGTAAGGTTTGTAGACTAAAGGTAAGAGTTGTAAAGTACAGGTAAGCCCTGTGAAATACAGGTAAGGGTTGTAGAGTACAGGTAAGTCCTGTGAAATAACGGTGAGTTGTAGACTAAAGTTAAGTCCTGTATAATACAAGTTAGGGTTGTAAAGTACAGGTAAGGTTAGACTAAAGTTAAGTCCTGTAGAATACAAGTAAGGGTTGTAAAGTACAGGTAAGTGTTGTAGACTTGAGGTAAGAGTTGTAGAGCACAGGTAAGTCCTGTAGAATACAGGTAAGGTTTGTAAAGTACAGGTAAGGTTTGTAGACTAAAGGTAAGAGTTGTCAAGTACAGGTAAGTCCTGTGAAATACAGGTAAGGGTTGTAGAGTACAGGTAAGTCCTGTGAAATAACGGTGAGTTGTAGACTAAAGTTAAGTCCTGTATAATACAAGTTAGGGTTGTAAAGTACAGGTAAGGTTTGTAGACTAAAGGTAAGAGTTGTAAAGTACAGGTAAGTCCTGTGAAATAGAGGTAGGGGTTGTAGAGTACAGGTATGTCCTGTGAAATAACGGTGAGTTGTAGACTAGAGGTAAGATTTGTAGAATACAGGTAAGTCCTGTAGAATACAGGTAAGGGTTGTAAAGTACAGGTAAGTGTTGTATACTAAAGGCAGGAGTTGTAGAGTACAAATGGCCTCAATAGCCATTTTAGAATTGGGCGGTTATTTTGTTAATTATCATCAAGCCATAAATATTATAAATCAAACAGACAGTATTTTATATGTGCCGGCCAGAGGAGGATTTGTCCCCACTGCTGAGTCTTGGTTCCTCCAAAGGATTCTTCCTGCATTTGATTTCGTAGAGAGTTTTTTCCTTGCCACTGTCGTCTTTGGCTTGCTCATTGGGGGGTTAAGGCACTGTAATAATGCCTTGAGTTTCTGTCACTATCTGCTTCTTTGAGGTGCCTCTGTTAAGGCCTGTTCATAACCGTCAATTCTTATTGCAATATACAGTAACATGCCAAAAAAAAAAATCATATTTAACGTGTGTTGTGAAAGCAGTCTAATTTGAATGTACTGAGATAAAAGACTGAAGTAATGGCAAGAAAACGCATCTTTATATAGTCTTGTGATAGTAGTTTCATTCTCGAGCAAATAAGTAGATTCAGTTATTTCATTAAATCGTTCAAAAGAAAAAACTCATGAACTAGGAGTTACTAGTTAGAACAGTCTGATGAATCCTTCTAACTTAATTTCAGTATAAAATAGTATACACAGCACAAAAAGTGTCACAAGCAAATGACTCTTCTGAGCTGGTTCTTTATAGTGATTCAACAACATACAGAGCATTCAATGTAGTCTGATTTAAGAGCAAAAACCTTTTATGATCTGGGGCCGGATTCTCAGAAATCTTAAGAAATAAGTTAAGAAATTTCTTAAAATAAATTCCACAAAGTTCGTAAGAATGTTCTTAAGTGCAATTCTT